ACCTGCTGGGCTCCAGCGATCCTTCCGCCTCAGCCTTCTGAGTAGCTGGAACTACTGGTGTGCGCTACCACGCCCAGCAAATTTTTTGATTTATTGTAGAGATGAACTCTCACCAAGTTGCCCAGGCGGGTCTCGAACCCGCAGGCTCAGGCAATCCACTCACCTCGGTGAGCCACCGAGCCCGGCCCTCATCATGGTTTTGTTTAAATTAAGGCATCTCGGGCAACCCTCTTTCAGGTCCTCTCCTGCTTGGGAGCTTTTCTGTATTCTTAATAAACTCCTGCTTTCTCACCCTTGGAAAAAAAAATTAAGGTGCCTCAGTCACGGCTCTGTGGGTATTTGTGGCTGAACCATTCTTTGCTGCGGGGGTGCCTTGTGTGTCATGAGATATTGAGCACAGCCCCCAGCCTCTGCTCACCAGATGCTTGTCGGACTCTCTTCCAAGATGTGGCAACCTAAAGTATCTCTGGACATCACCAAGTGTCCCCGGGGAATTGGAATCATCCCAGGAGAGAACCCCAGTCTTGAGGTATGCTGGGCCCCGTCTCGGATGACACCAGCATTCCCAGGCTCACGGGTGGCCTCCAGCCCAATTATGTGAGAGAAGTCCGCCAGGCCAGGGAAGAGGGGAGTCCCATACCTGTCGAGTCCTCCCTCAGAGCACTGCGGGGGACGCAGAGACAAGGAGCTGATGCCACAGAGGGAACCACAACGGCACCGCATTGCTTCCCTGAGCCACATGGAGGAAGTGCTTGCCCCCACCCAGCCCCCCACCGCCTCACATGCCCCCAGCCTGTGCTTAGCTTTGTCTAGCTCCTCTAATCCTTCCAGAAGAGAGAGGAGATTCGACTCAGCAGACATGGGACACCCACACCACCTCAGCACCACCATCTCACTACTACCAAGGACCAGGCTGCCCGCACCTTTGCTTTGCTGGAGCAAACTGGGTTTCCTCCCACCTTCAGATGCCTTCCCTCTGGTTCTTGACACATCTGCAGTGGGAGCCTGAAATGGGAACACATGACACTCAGACACAAGATGCCTTCCTTCATGAGAAGGGGCCCTGATGTGGTCTGCACCAGCTTTGGTAACCATTCATACCTTGAGGCAAGGGAGAGGTTTAAAGACTGGTGAAAACCTTATCTCATCTATACAGGACAATTTTCCTTTTTGAATCGGAGTCTCACTCTCACCCAGGTTGGGAGTGCAGTGGCATAACTACAGCTCACCACAGCCTTGGCCTCCTGGGCTCAGGTAATTCCCCCCATTTCAGCCTCCCAAGTAGCTGGAACTAAGGTGCCACCACGCCCGGCTAAGTTTTTGATTTTTTGTGGAAACAGGATCTCGCTGTGTCACCCAGACCCTGGCTGGAGTACAGTGGTGAAATTACAGCTCACTGCAGCCTCAACCTCCTGGGCTTAGGTGATCCCCCCATCTCAGCCTCCCAAGTAGCTGGGACTACAGGTAACACTATAACCGGCCCAAATTTTGTCAACAAGTAGATATTCACTTGCACAGAACATAAGAAACCCCCGAGCCGGGCTCGGTGGCTCAGCCTGTAATCCCGCGCCTTTGGGAGGCTGAGGTGAGGG